TGTTAAGGGCTACAGGACTACCGAGGACCCGATAGACTCGATATCAAACAAGACGAACTTCATCTTGTCTAAAAGATGACTTGACTTACATTGTAATAGAAGGGAGAACTGTCTACCATTATCGAATGGTTTTACCCTAACTAGTTGAACAAATAACGAAACTTCCGTCGATATACTTCAGTAATCATAAAGGGCGTCAAATAAATGCAATTAAAGATAGCAAGATCGAGTATGAAGCTTGAGTACAAGTATGAAACGTAGACGGTGATGACGATCATATATATAGAATCGATTGAGTAAAATGACGGAATAAGAATGATAGTAATCAGTTTGTGAACATGTTAAACATTGTTAGAATTTATAAAACTCCTAACAAAACTCATTAAGGAGTAAGGAACTGGTACATCGGGGATGTCCTTATATTGACTGAGATCTGTCCTTTCCGACAGTATATGATGTCCCATATAGATTGGTAACGGATTCCAACTTATTTCCTTTTGCATTATCGGCGCTTAAAAAGTGCATGAATGTGGTTAAGAACACCAAACCTTTTTGAAGTGAAACTTCTTTAGGCAGAGTAAGTTCGTTTCGTGAGAGTTGTCATGTAACGAAATCATACAACGCATTTCCCCCGTTGCCTGTTCCTATGTGTGCTTAGATCTTTAAAACTACTCAACGGATTTTAATGCGGTCTTTTTTAGTAGATAGAGTAATTCAAGAGGAAGGTTTATATGTATAATACATGCATAATATCGTAGAGAAACACTGATTATTTTAGAGGTTTCTAATGTGATGTTGTAAGTAAACATATTTTTTTGCGTTTACATTGCAAACGCTGGCTGAACCCTACGAGATAGATCAAAATAATATACTACAGTATTGTACACCTTAAAAAGGTCTACAAAAACGCGATGGTATATGTCTATCTCTCAGGGATAACCCACAATAACTATTTTTTATCCTTTACTTTTTAGGAGAAATAATGGCTTATATACGAAGCGATTTTAAGCAATACAGCATTAATCCTTATCCAATTAAGTACTTCTTAATACATTGTGCATTTAATATAGATCAATATGGGCCTCAACAGCATGTAATTTAAATGAATATTTTCGAAGATATTACAGACTTAAAATGCAGGGACATAGCGGTTGCGGCGGTACCGGCCGGTTTGTATTGTCTAATGACAAAAAAGCTGTGATTATTGTATACAAAGACATTCTATAATATATTTACTATCAGCATTGCACCCGTGCGAAGCATAGTGTACAAATAATACCATTAAACCAATTCCTTAACCCCTATCCCGGTATGTTTGTGTGTTTGAAGAAGTTTCACTTCAGTAGCGTGTTGTATACTTACACGTTGTATTTTTTTTTTTATTATTGATGCTTTAAAGTACCGTTTATTTAATTGCCTTTATGTTGTTATTGTTTGTTTTTACCGTACAGAAACAATTCAATAGTAATAAAATTCATATTTTTTCAATATTTTTAAAAGAAGTGAAAGCCTCTTCAATTTTATTCGTTAGAAGTACCTACAATGAGCAGTGTCCTTTGCAAGATAAAGATGTCAAGGAGGTTGAAGTGCCTGCTGGATGGTGGGTAATAAGATGGCATTGTGGCCGCTTAGGGCCGACAAATCACCCGTTTTGTACCGGCATCAACGAACACAATGAATAATACAGCGCGTGTAAGAGCGGATGTCACGATCGACAATGGCTCTCCACATAATAATCTCCACAATGGTAACTCTATTACTATTATTTGTATTTATTGGGAACGTTCGAAATCCATTTTCGTGCTACGTTCTGTCGAACGAGCATTAATGATGAATGAAAATGGATCGAAACGTTTCAACCCGATCGATCATATAATATTAAAATGATGATCGACAAGAGTAAGAACAAAAGTTGAAGTACAAAAATTAGAAATTTCCGAACTGATATTTAGGTGTTTAATGTAATATAAGACTAAAAGACCCAGTTATATATCAAAGCGTAGGAACCTTCAATTCACAATTTGTTTTTAATATGTGAGGATGTTTATTAGAATTAGGTGCTATAAAATACAAGAACAATAAAATTAAAGTCTAAAAACAAATCTTTAAGAAAGTATCACGAAATTCTTGTTCTTGTTATGTTGCATTGTCGGAAATTATCAAACGTGTTTTCTTAATTCACTGTTAACTACCTGCCTGCTATATATATCTTTCCATAGTTGAATCCAATTGATCTTTGTATATCCAAAAAGGATAAAGCAAGTATTTTTGTGAAAAGAACTCATCCTTGTAGAAAATAAAAACAAATAACACCGTATTAAAAAGCAACTTTTATAAAATTTTCAAGAAAACGTATCGAATCCTCGTAGCTGTTTGCTGCCTTTCAATCAAAAGCAAAACACTACCGAACACTAAAAACTAGCTGGGTACTTCTTTCTTATAAGAGCGACAGATTATTTTGTAATGAAAATCTTAATATTTTTTTTACTGAAATATTTGGATAAAAAAGAACTGTAAGGAATGTTTATTATCACAATTTCTATCTTTCGCCAACTTTAAGAATTAAATGATTTAATGACAAATTTATATGTACATAATTTTGAATAAGAAAGAATTTATATAGAATTATTTGTACGGGATTTTAAAGGGTATCGTTATGGTAGTCTTGCAATGAATCCTAAACTAGTCCTTGTAAATGTTTATACATAGTGTGAGAAAGTGACCAAAAACTATTATCAGATATCGAACGAATGAATACCTTTACCCTTTTAAAAACATTCACATCTGAAAGTGCTGCAAAAAGAACCTTGCCATACAGAAATAGTTTCCGAGCCCATTGCTCTACAATCCGTAATAATTCCGATCAAACTTTCGATAAGAGCCTTCGCCCCGAAATTTGAAAAGAACGTCTTCCCGTTTGACCGGTCCTTAGGTACCCACACGGCTTTAAGAACATCCAAACTTGTATTAGCCATTAGACATCGCAAAGCTGTTTAAAAGTAGGAGAGGGTTCCCGTAGTTATGTAGTTTACATATACAAATAGTAAAGGACGATCCGAACCAGTTGTCAAACAAGAATGACTTTATAATAAAAATGTACAAAACCCTTCCTGAATTGATATAATGAATAACGCTCTGCTTGCGGAAGAAAGCTTTTTGATTTTGTAGGTAGGTACTAGAATGACATATGATAGTATTTGTAAGAACAACAGCTAAAGGGTTAGGTAACAGAATAACATTAGTGCAAAAAATATAGGAAGTGGTTTATGACCATGGACAACTCGTTTATAAACAAGTCATAGAAATTATACGCAATGAACAACGTTACCTGTTGATAAGTTAGTGTTAAATTTCAATGGTTCTACTAATACTACTTTTACCTGCAGATATGAACACAAATTGTCAAAATCCGTTTCTATTTAAAAACATATAATAAAACAACGGGGGTAATTTTTATCCTGTACCCCTAATCTTTAGCGGTAAAGCCCGTTGTGCAATACCAGATCCTTATAGGCTTTATCCGCAATTATGCTTCTGATAAAGAGTCCAGCAGCCTTTTTGACTTGCCGAAATCATAAGCAGTACTTATGAGACATGTCAGCAAAAGCTCTCAAGGGGGGTGGGGGGGTATCTTCTACCCACCATAACCTAACCTACCCTATCTATATTAAGTTACGTAAGTTTGTGTTAGATTAGATAGAATAGCTCAGGCTATGATGGGTAAAAGTCCACCTACCCCCGAGGACTTTTTTGTTCCATCTCAAATAGGTACCTAAAACGATACTAAAAGAAAGTAAACTAAACTAAATACATGAGCAATAATCAGTATTAGGTAAAAATATGTGGGAAAGCTTTTACCGGAAGCCCCGCTTATGCATAATTACCATGCTTCGAACATTGCCTAACACATATCTGGCAAACTTAAAACTTCTGCATCAGGAATCATAGCATAAGCTCAAACTTTGTCTGATTGCGGTAAGATCCGGTGATGCACGGTTCTTCTAAAACCTGAAGCACAAGGGGCTTTGCCATCAACATATGCACGCTTCTGTTTTAATAAATTCTGTACTTTTATTTTTCCCGACTTGCTCAAGGCAATAATCAAAAGCAAAGAGAATGGTATAAAACCTTTGGTTTCTAATTAAAGAAGGAAATCCTTTGTATATATGTTCAGTTAAGTATTTTTGGAAAACCAAGTATGAGAAAATGTTAAAAAAGAACTGATGAGGTCCATTATCAACTGAACTTATCCTTGGTAAAAATTGTCTCGTTCCTTGATGATTATTAAAATAAAGGACAATTAAATCATGGTAAGTAAAAGTTTATAATGCATAAAGGATAAATCAAACGATTCATAGGAAACTTAAATAACGATTTTCCGATTTCATCATCCCTGTAAGAGGAAAATCTGTCTATGGAAAACTATCGAGAAAAATTAAAAAATTTAAGTATGAGGCACATATTGAATTTTTTCCTAATCACCTCTTAAAATATCTTCTGATAAATATAATGTAACATCATAAATATCTAAGATGAGAATTAGAAGTATTCCTTTCCGTGAGAGGAAAATAATTTGTTTTTCCACCTGTCTATGGAAAACTATCGGAAAATGCCAATGAGATCCATTAGGCATTTGAAATTACACAGTAAGAAAAATGAAAAGACTTTTTCACCTCGTATACCCATTAGTATTTTCCTTTTGAAGCGATGCAACCTGATCCGTGAAAAATCGTCTAAATCAGTTCATTTAGAGAACCGATTCGATTCCAAACAAATAGTAAACAGATCCATATCCAATTCCTTGGGATCAAGGTAGGCATATCAGAAAGAGTGTATCAACAAATTAACACTTCTGGCTTACACTGTGTAAATTATTCATGACAATTGAAAAGCAGCAAAATGATTGGACGGTTTACAATCCAGGACTCCGCCTTCCGATTTTGAACCGTTTCAGTGTCCGCCCCAAGTCTTCGGAATATAGAAGGACATCCACTCCTTCGGTTCTGTCAGTAGGATTAGTGCGCGAGTGTCGGTGCACCAGAGACCGCTTCAAACTTCCGTCATAAAGGATCGCACTCAAAATTTTGGTGAGTGCTCGCGACAGTTAATTGTCACCGTGTATAGATTACGTCACAACCAAAAATAAACTGGACTCGTTATTGTTGGGCAGATGTTTTAGAACGCGTCGTGAAAACACGAACTAGTTAAGCATTTAATCTGGTGGTGTGCGAAGGAAACTCGTGAAACTGTTTGTTATTGTTACGTTTCGAAATGTATCCGGTTTTCTTCAAGATCCGCAGCTTCAGTTTTCTTAAAACGGGCAAATAGACGTGCGCGGAAAAAAGGAAAAACTGAAAGTTTCAAATAAAAGGACACGATGAACGGAACGGAGAGGTAAAGGAAAAGGGAAAGCGCTATGTTGTCAGCAGGGGTTGGTTACGGAGCTCCTGGTGCAGGAGACACGCCTCCTTATAGTCCTCCACTGCGAACCAGCCCCTTACCGAGCTTCGGATTCACCCAAGAGCAGGTGGCATGTGTATGCGAGGTAAGGGTTAATTTTTACAAAAAGTTTCCATATAAGAAGGATTATTATCCTTTAAATAAATAAGCGATGATTCTGGCAGAAAATCACGGTTACTTGATTCAATACTTGAAGCTGACGCATCAATAATTTTTGAGAATTTCTATTTTAAACGAGTTAAATATAAAACATTCAAAAAATAGACAGATTAGGAACAAAGGATTTATTTTGGCGGATGCGCTAGACCACAAGGACACTAAAACATTCATCTTTAGTCCTATAAATAGTAACTAAATATTTAAACATTTAGGTAACAAATGTTATTTGTGGAATTAGAACGTTAGAATATTTCAAATATTATGCTGGAATCAAATTAAAAAATATTCTACATAGATATCATTCCTTTTTGTGATTGGAAAATAATTTAATTTGTTTCAACCCGTTTAGAATACCATAACATGCGGCACATTTCTATTTTCAATTATTGTTAAAACGCAAGAATATTATTAATTTACATAATTAAATCTTTAATTTTTATTGAACATTATTTCTTCTTGCCCTTAGGAATAAAATTTTGAAAATGAAAATTTCCGAAAGGTTAGCGTCGGCATTATTCTACTCATACTCTGCAACTAGAAATTAATAAATGAAGCAACAATAGATAAATGATATTTCTCAATTGGTCATGTTTGGATTTAGAGATAAAGGTACAGATATAGACACACTAAGCAAGATGAATTTTCTTAGTATCAGAAATTTTTACTAATTTTGAAGAGTCATGTGTGCAAAAATATGATAAGACAGCATCATTTTAGGAGCGAGGATTGGGTTTACAGTAAAAGCTTGCAAATTGTATCGAAAGGTTGTATCTGAATGCTTTGGGAAAATGTATCTGCCAGATAAAAAGGTTCTAAATTAAAGATTGAAATCCAATTAATGATGTAAAATATTGTAAATTTTAAATTTAGTCATTCAATTAGCCATGAATAGAAACACCACTTTTCCGTTAAAAATAGACAAGCGGCCAAAAAACGATCAAACCTACGTTTTAAAGAGTAGGTTTCTGTAAAGTTCACCCAACTTTATCAAGTGGTTTAAAGTTTAAAGATTTGGTGCAACTGGTATAATAGCTAATAGTACAACATTCTGGAACTATAACTGATCATTAAAACGTTTTATTAAAAGACAAAAAGGTTATTTAGGCCTAACTTTTAATATCCAGGATGTTTTCTTTTAATAAAAATCCTTAATTTAAAATCACCTCTATATAATACCCAAACAATTGCGATATTTCCCTTTTAAACCTCCACAAGTCAGATTTTACAAGGGACCAAGTCCAAGTCCAGCTCTGTATGTAGGTAGACAATGTATTACTTACGATTGTTTTACTCATTGAACTTTGAATACTTAGATTAAAGGATTTTCAGTAGAAAAAGTATACATCTGTTATCCAAATGAACATCCGGATACAGGTACAGTAGAATCTCGATAAGATAAAGACCAAGAGAAACGTAAAATAATTTGAGTTATTGAGGTTTTTACTTA